ATAAATAATTGAATATATTTAATTACCTTTAATTTTAGAAAATGATGACATGTTTTTTGATGATTTATTTACACCAATCAATTCGCCACTTGGGATGAAATTGAAGACATGTCATCAATTGAAAATGCCAAATGTCAATCAATTAGCTATGCAATTCAACTTTTATATATTATATAGATTTTGATAATTGTTAAAAATTAGTTAGAAATTAGTAGAGAAAAAAATATTAAAAATATTTAATTACAGAAAATACCATTAGGGTTTTTTAGGGTTGCCCAGCGTTTCTTTCTTTTATACATAAGATTAGTATTAGTATTAGTATTAGTATTAGTATTAGTATTAGTATTAGTATTAGTATTAGTATTAGTATTAGTATTAGTATTAGTATTAGTATTAGTATTAGTATTAGTATTAGTATTAGTATTAGTATTAGTATTAGTATTAGTATTAGTATTAGTATTAGTATTAGTATTAGTATTAGTATTAGTATTAGTATATATTAGTATTAGTATTAGTATTAGTATTACTATTAGTATTAGTATTAGTATTATTATTAGTATCATTATTAGTATCAATATTGATATCAGTATTGGTATTATTATTGGTATTGGCGTATACATTTTATCTCTTTTGCAATATTTATAAGTTGTGTTGTTGTTTGATTAATGTGCATCGCTAATTGAATGTTGTTAGTGATAAACTTGCAAGTTATTTGAATATGTGTTGTGTTACCTCCATGCTACTGTGTTTGTTGTTAAGTTAGTTATTTTGTAGAGGATTCACATGGTGTAGTAGATTGCATTCTATGAAATAGATTTATACCATATTTTTAAATTATTTCACTTAATCTTCATATCGTGCTCTGCGCCATTCGCGTATTTTTCTTTGTAATATTTAATTGAATTTCAAATGTTACAACTCTGAATTAAGAGATAATTTTTTTATTTCCTTCCATTTTGTTTTACTTAAATTGGTGTTGTTATAAAGAGATAATCGTTTAAATGTTATTATTTTTCTCATTTTGAAACTGATATCCGTGCAACGCACGGGTGAAGTACTAGTTAAAAAATATTTGAATAAACAATTAATTTGGTATGATAATATTAATTTCCAGCTCAATTAATATTTTTCCATGTAGCACGGACACACAAACAACAATATGATAAAACGAGGAAACGGACACGGGAAACAACATGTCAAAAAATTGGGGATACGAGAACTTTGGGGAAAGTTGTAAATATTAAAGTATAGGGGTACATTTATAAACATGCTACATAAACATATATAAGATTTAATTTATACATTTCTATACAAATATATTCAAAATATATATTATTTTCAACTATCAATTTGCAATTGATCAAATAATTGAGGAATTTTTTCTTTTTTTTTAAATTCGTTTTTCAAACATCTTTTTAACTTCACAAATTGCAAAATGACCATAAGTTTGAGATATTTAGAAAGTTGAAATTTCTGTGTTACGTAAATATTTTTTAGTGTATGCTCGAAATTTAATTTAGTAAATATAAAGAGTAAATTACAACCAACCCCCTGAATTAAGGTTTATTGAAGAAAAAAACCCTCATTTTCCAAAATTACATCCAACCCCTGCAATTCGTAATTTATTTAAGAAACTTACACACTGCAGGGGGTGGATGTAGTTTTGGAAAAGATATGGATTGTTTCGTAAATAGAGATAAATTAAGGATCTGTTTGTAATTTACCCAAAAATAAAAGGGCTTTTGGTTAATAAATAATTGGAAGCCCCATTTAGCAAAATTGATAAATTCTCTCTCTGACGCCCTAAGGATAGTCGGACCTTCGCAAGACTTGCCATCACTCTGTTCTAAACGTTTCACTTTTCTCTTTCTTCACAATTCTCAGTTTTTCTTCACAATTTTGCCTTTTATTTTTCTATAAGTATCGTTTACGAAATTTCTGTTGAAGAAATTAATCAGTAGCTTCAGTTTTCTGTATAAAATTTTGGTAAATACGTACATATATACGTAAAAAGTTGCGCAATTTGTTGCTGTCTGGGTTAATTTTTTTATCAAACAGTAACAATTCGAGGATGAATTCGAGAGCGAGATACCCGCCGCCGGGAATGGGCGCTGGCCGAGGCGGAGGCGGAGGTGGAGGCGGCGGCGGAATGAACCCGCACGCAGGACCAAACCCTAATTTTCAACCAAGATACGCAAATCAACAATACGCAGAGAGGAGTCCAGCGCGGAACAATCAGAATCAGGAATTATTTCAAAACCCTCAACCGCAACAATGGCTGCGAAGAAATCAGCTTCCGCCGGTTGATTCCGCAGTCGATGAGGTCGAAAAGACTGTACAATCAGAAGCCGTCGATTCTAGGTCAATATACTATTATTGCTCACTCTATTATTACCATTTGATTTGCTTGTTTGTTCTTTGTCAATATTTATATTTAAATTTAAATAAAATGGGGTTCAATCTTTTTGAGCAATTCTGCAAATTGGCGTAGAATGCGTAAAATAAGATAATGGGAGAAGGAAATTGTTGACTAGGTATAAATATGTAACTTATGGGAAACTTTAGAATTTCTCGGAGTGAGAATTGAGAAGAGATTGTAGGCCGCGAAGCTAATTATTGACTGACTAGAGACTGTTTAGCTGCAATTTGGCCTACAGGATGTGGTTGGTCTCAAATGTTTTTATTTTTTGTCGAGCACGATTTCATCCTCTTATTTAGATCTTTCGTGTTTGAGTCTCGGGTGCTTTAGTTCCATAAGTTTGCTTAAGTTTGCTTTGGGTTTGTTTATGTTTTGTATAATAGGTCATATGTTAGATGGCATAGCTACATGATGAAATGATCAAAGTTCTATCGAATGCGTGGAATCTGAATCTCGTTCTAGTTTGCTTGGTTTGCTCGGTGATGTTGTAATAAACAAGGAATTTTGTTTTAGTTTGCTAATCAGTACAATTATTGATATTGAATCATTATTGGTTTATTGCAATAAAATTATCATGTATATAAAATATAAAATGTGTAGAGTGAAATAAATTAAGCCTATATGATAGTGCAATGATATATATAATTCAGAATATTAAGTTAAGAGATTTAATAATAAATAGATAGTTTTGTTTTGTAACTCCTGACAAACACTCACTACACTCATACACTCACTGCTCGTACACTCACTGCTCGTACACTCACTAGAAGGTTACTCGTTCGAAATAGTGTAGGAATTGAAAGAAGGTTAGTCAAAATGTATTTATACAACTAATTTTTATGGTCACTCTAATTCTGGTGATCTAATTCTGATTTATTTACTCATTTGTGATTCACTATTTTTCTTTTCATCTAAATATTAAGTTAAGAGATTTAATAATAAATAGTTTTGTTTTGTAACTCCCTGACAAACATCCACTACACTCGTACAGTCACTACTCGTACAGTCACTCACTAGAAGGTTACTCGTTCGAAATAGTGTAGGAATTGAAAGAAGTTCAGTCAAAATGTATTTATACAACTAATTTTTATGGTCGAGAGTTATGGTGATCTAATTCTGATTTATTTACCCATTTGTGATTCAAACTATTTTTCTTTTCATCTAGTTCCCAAGATTGGAAAGGAAGATTGAAGTTGCCACCAGTAGACACCCGATATAGAACTGAGGTAATCTATTCCATGACTTCATTTTCTAAAATTTTATGCCAATATTCATTGTGTGTTGTTTTAGTATGCGTGTGTAAGAAAGAATTTGATTATTGTTTGATGGTATATCAATAAAGTTCACACCCCTATTTATAGAACTAGAACTTCGGTCCTCAATGAGATTGTGGTTCTCAATGAGATTGTGGTTATGAACTTGATCCTACGGTTGTAAGTTGTTATACTAAAAAAAAAATCCTATAAAATATCTTAAAAGGAGAAACTTCTAGTAAGTATCTAGTAGGTAGCAGTAAGTATATATCATCCTCCAAAAGTCTCTACAAGTTTCCTTATGTACAGATAGGTTTTCTCGGGAATTTTCTTGGGCTAAGTCATGACTTGTTGAATCGTACTAAATATTTTGGATCCAAAGAAAGAAAAATGGTTAAGTGTTGGCCTAAAAAATGATGGGATGTGACATTGTGATGTCATACACATTCTATTTCTAAATTGATTCTTTAATCCTTTTTTCCCTCCTTTCTTTTTTACCCCTGTGCACTCGTAAATTCTTGATTTGTTGTGGTTTTTATGTTCCCAATGCTCAACAAGATAGAAATTTTGAAAACTCGTGTTACCAGTAAAATGCAGCTAATTATTTGTAGTTTGTGAATTACGACAGAACTGTTAGATATAACTTGAGCTGTTGTCTTCCTTATTTAACCAATATCATCAACTGATTGACTCCAGTTTGCTATTCAACATATATGAATTTCCGATTGAAGATTCTCACCGTTACATTTGTTAACTGTAAACTATTAATGGGCCTTGTATGTTTGTAGTGTGATAAAAAAAATTCAGTATGTAGCAATTTGTACAAACTAGTGTATTTCGCTTTGTCTTTCAGGATGTTACAGCGACCAAAGGAAACGAGTTCGAAGACTACTTTTTGAAGCGCGAGCTTCTGATGGGAATATACGAGAAGGGCTTTGAGAGGCCATCTCCAATCCAAGAAGAAAGCATTCCAATCGCTCTTACCGGAAGCGATATTTTGGCTAGAGCAAAAAATGGAACTGGGAAAACTGCTGCCTTTTGCATTCCCGCCTTAGAGAAAATTGATCAAGACAAAAACGTTATTCAAGGTGAAACTTATAACCATTTGAATGTTCATTTAAGTTTAGAATCCGAGGCATGGCAAACATTACTTTGATATCTATCAACATCTATTTATCTAGGCAAGCATGTTTTTTATGCACAAATTTCAGTCACATTGCTCGCGTGTTTTGTGGCTACGGTTATTTGCGCAATATTCAATGCTTATTGAGTTCTCGTACATGCTTGCTTCTTTGCAGCTGTTATTCTTGTCCCGACAAGAGAGTTGGCTCTTCAAACATCGCAAGTTTGTAAAGAACTCGCTAAGCACTTACAAATTCAAGTCATGGTTACTACCGGTGGAACTAGCTTAAGGGATGACATCATGCGTCTCCATCAACCCGTTCATTTACTCGTCGGGACACCTGGCAGAATTCTGGATCTCGCTAGAAAGGGAATTTGCATCTTAAATGAGTGCAATATGCTTGTGATGGACGAGGTATGAATCTCTTGTTTTATTATTCGTTTCAACTTATGAAACATGTTATAGTAATATTACAAAGTCGATTATTATTCTTGACCCCGTTTGGCTAAATATTTTTTAACAGGCTGATAAACTTTTGTCGCCAGAGTTTCAACCTTCGATCGAGCAATTAATTCGATTTTTATCTGCAAACCGTCAGATACTTATGTTCTCTGCCACATTCCCTGTTACCGTAAAAGATTTCAAAGATCGATACCTGCGAAAGCCCTACGTCATCAACCTTATGGACGAACTTACCCTCAAGGGTATAACCCAGTTTTATGCTTTTGTCGAAGAAAGACAAAAAGTTCATTGCCTCAACACTCTCTTTTCGAAGGTTCGTATAAATCCCGATCCACACTTCTTAGGCTGTGTCGTAGAATATGTTTTATCATCTTTGATGTTTTTTTTTTAAATCTTGATATATATTCTCTTGTGACTACAGCTTCAAATAAACCAATCAATTATTTTCTGCAATTCCGTGAATCGAGTTGAACTTCTTGCCAAGAAAATCACAGAGCTTGGCTATTCTTGCTTCTATATTCATGCTAAAATGCTCCAAGATCATCGTAACAGAGTGTTTCATGACTTCCGCAACGGTGCCTGCAGGAATCTTGTGTGCACTGGTATATTCTTTTCTCTTCTAATCATTGCTGAATTTTTGGATTTTTCATTTGCCCAAAAAAAAATTGTAATAAGGAAAAAAAAAGAAAACCGTCGTAAACATTTGCAACTTTTTCTAATCTCATATCATCTCGGAAATTAATTCTTCTTGTTATGTTGTTTCTTGTGCTATAATGCAGACTTATTTACAAGGGGTATAGATATTCAATCTGTAAACGTCGTAATCAATTTCGATTTCCCCAAGAATGCAGAAACATATTTACACAGGGTACGGTCCATATAAAATATATATATATATATATATATATATATATATATATATATATATATATATATATATATATATATGTCAATTTACTTATCGTTTCCTCTGATTTTCTTGTAACTCTTCCTGCTGATACGCAGGTCGGTCGATCTGGGAGGTTTGGGCATCTTGGATTAGCCGTGAATTTGATCACATACGAGGACCGCTTCAATTTGTACGTGCATCATTTTTTAGGTTTTCTTGTATTGAATAACGTAGTTAATCGGGTCGTGTTTTTAGAGATGTTATTTACCTCGATATTATGTCATCTTTCAGGTATAGGATTGAACAAGAATTAGGGACAGAAATCAAGCAAATCCCTCCGCAGATAGATCAAGCTATTTACTGCCAATGATCTACGGTCGCTGCCATTGGGTTTATGGTTGGAGGTGGCGACACTGGTGAGTAATGAAATTTACGATATTTTTTTTAATGATTTATTTTTTTAAATATATTTACGGGTTTTCTCTTAGTTTGTCTATGTATCCATTATTTGCTGCAAAGCCCTTAATTTATGATGACCGTAGAATGTATTCCCTTTATACGTACTATCGAATGATTGCTCCTTCGATTTTAATCGTATGTCTTGTTTTTCTATGACAGAGAAACGGTTTACTGTTGGAGAAGTGACATGATTGGTTGTCGGGGATATTGGTCGGTGAAAAAAAAGGTACTTGAATTTACTACACGAGGCATGTGATGCAAGAATTTCTCGGATAGTGGCATATGAAGGATTTGAAATTTATATCGACATTTAAGGTGTTGTTCATTAGCTAAGCGGCTGCCCGTCACACCTTTGAGCCGTGTTATTTTCTGTTTAATTAAGTTAGATCTATGTAAGTCGATCGGTTTGATGCAAAAAAAGGTTTTCTATTTGAGCAAAGTGAGATTTTGTACCTTTTCAAGAAGTTGGTCTTGGAAGTGTGAATTTTATTTTGTTTCGTTCGGGATTTTATTATTACGACGTTTGTTTGTCTACCAAATTCGCAAATAAGGTGAGATAAGTATTTGCATTTTGCTTGCCTAAACCACAGTCGGGACTAGCAAAATTTTGTTAATGTGACGAAATATTAAATTATCGAACAAACAGTTAATACGTTTACTATGAGTTGGGGCCGGGAGAAATTATTATTCAAACAAAATTATTACTTGATCGAGGTTTAATTGTATCAACAGAATATATATATAAAGTTAGTTATTCATGATCTTTTGAACTCTAAGTCTATAACAAGGGGTGGAAATCGGAACAAAATTTCCGCTGATTCTAATTCGAAATTTTTTGATTTTGGAATGACAAGACTATAACACATCATTTTGCAAGTGCATGAGGCAAATGTGCAGAAATTTAAGCAATGCTTGTTTCAAAATACAAATTTCTCTTTCCAAAGGAGTCATCTCTTTTTTTTTCCAATGAAAATCGAAAATTTTCCGATCTGAATCGACTTCGCTAATCAGGAATTGCAAAACTAAGTGAAAAATATTGTCACGAACGGATCTGAATCGACTCGCTAATCAGGAATTGTAGAACTCAGTGAAAAACATTGTCCCGAAATCGAAATTTTTCTATACAATGGAATTCGGAAATTCCGTTGCAATTTCCACCCGCCGATGGATATCATGATCCTTATTTCATATTTTCCCTCCCACTTTCTTCCCTTTATTATTTTCTATTTTTCCTATTTTTCTTCTTCACTCTCATCATTTACATAGAGAGAAGTGCATCCCCCACTCTCCTCTCATCTCCCCTACCTTTTCTTTTTCATCTTCCTTCACTCCTTAGATCCGGCCACCACGACCCGGATCCGGTAACCCACGACCCGGATCCGCCAAACTCCGGCCAATTCCAATGGCAAACGTGTGGAAAAGAAACCAGCCGCCGACGAAGATCTTAAGCCCTAGAAGCCTCATCCTCTTCGTCTTCACCTCCCTTCTGCTACTCACCTTCCTCTACCTCTCTACCCAAACCCCCAAAAATCCCCAATTCAACAACAAACCTCCGCTAACATCAACCACCGCCGCCACCAGACCAATCAACCCCTTCGATTGCTACAATGCGCCGCAGGCGTACCCTATCTTCGCCAACACCGTCGAAGGCCTCAAATTCCCCTTCGTGTATTCACTCTCCGACTTCGGGAATCTACCGGAGAAGCCGCACAAGAACATTGTACGGACGCTGAAGGGGAAGCCGTTCAGAAGGCCCGATATTTCCGCCACCGTGCAGGATTTGTTGGGGAAGATGAGATCGGAGAATCGAAATGGAATATTCGTCGATGTTGGTGCTAATGTGGGGATGGCGAGCTTTGCTGCTGCTGTGATGGGGTTCAAGGTTTTAGCTTTCGAGCCGGTTTTCGAGAATTTGCAGAGGATCTGCGATGGGATTCATTTCAATAAAGCTGCCGAGCTGGTCGAGGTTTTCGAAGCTGCCGCCTCCGATCGCTCCGGCAACATCACTTTCCACAAGGTATTTGTGTGTGTGTGTGTGTGTGTGTGTTTTAATGTTTATGTTTTCATTGTTGTTGTGTTGTATGGAAATTGATTAGGCATTCCTGTGTATGTAATTTTGTAGGTATTTAACGAGCATATTTGGTTGGTTCGACTAATATGGTTTTCCAGCATTTTCGACTCAGATTCTTTACTGCTAAGAGTCATTAGTTATGTTCATTTACAATTTATCGTTGATCATGGACTTAGGTGTCGATGTACGTCTCTTTTTACTATTGCCCTATTTCCGACTTAAATATGTAATTTGTAGCTATCTAACGAGCATATATGATTGGTTCGACTAATATGGTTTCCAGCATTTTCGACTCGATTCTTTACTGCTAATATTCGTAAGTTATGTCTATTGGTAATGTTATTTACAAATTATCGATGATCATAGACATAGGTGTCGATTCACGTCTCTTTTTTACTATTGCCCTATTTCCGACTTAAATATGTAATTTGTAGTTATCTAACGAGCATATTTGATTGGTTCGACTAATATGTTTTTTCCAGCATTTTCGACTAGATTCTTTACTCCTAAGATTCATTAGTTATGTCTATTTGATAATGCTATTTACAATTTATCGATGATCATAGATAGACTTAGTTGGTCAATTTACGTCTCTTTTTACTATCACCCTATTTCCGTCTTAAAAATAATGACAATCGATTGTTTTGCATGTGAAAACTTTAGTTGGTCGGTCGGCTTGACAACAGTGCGGTCTCGGCCAGTGGGGCGAAGTTGGCTTTCAAGTCGAACGAAGAGATTGCGATTCAAGTTAAGACGATTCCTTTGGATGATGTAATAGGAGAATCCGAGGCGGTGCTTCTACTTAAAATAGACGTACAGGGCTGGGAGTATCACGTCCTGAAAGGCGCAGAAAGATTGCTGTCTAGAAAAAAGAGCGAAGCGCCGTATTTGATATACGAAGAAGACGAGCGTTTGTTACAAGCGAGCAATAGCAGTGCCAAAGAGATACGAGATTTTCTTCGGAGAATGGGTTACGGCCAATGCGAACAACATGGAACTGATGCACATTGCACTAAAACAGATTGAAACTCAACTAACAAAATTCTCCCTAACGAATATTCCGAGGTATATACTGCCCAATGATCTATGGTGGATGCTATTGAATTCATGGTTGGTGGTGGTAACACTGGTAAGTATTATTTTATCCGTATCTCCATTTTTGTGAGGTTTCTTGCAACCCTTATTTTGCTGCCCAACTTGTTAGGTTTTTCGACCGTCTGTTAATTGGGAAATCTCCATAGTTCTAGGAACTGGATAACTGTAGAAATGTGAAAATTCCCTTTTTACGTAAGATCAAATGATTGTTCCTTCCGTTTTAATAGCAAGTCTTCTTTTCCGTGGCAGAGAAACGGTAGACTGTTGGAGAAGTTGACATGACTTTGTCGGAGATAATTAGATATCTTGTTATTTGTTCGATGAAAAACCAAACTTGAGAGTTGGCCTCGTGAGACATGTGATGCAAGAATTTCCCAGACTTGCATATAAAAAGATTTGAAATTATGCTGGCATGTAATCTGTTCATTTGCTGAGCACACCTTTGAGCCGTGGATCTTTGTTATTTTCCGTTAAAATTAAGTTAAAACTATAGGTCGATCGTATGTTCAGTGCGAAAAAAAAAATGTCTATTTGGGAAAGGCGAGATTTTTACCTTTTCAAGAAGTTGGTCAGTGCGATTTTTTTTGTTTCATTCGGGATTATTAGCATGTTTGTCTACCGAATTCGCAAATAAGGTGAGATAAGTTGTTGCATTTTGCTCTTCGGCTCAGTCGTGATATGATTCTGTGCTAGCAAATGACACTCAGCTACGTTGATTCTTCTATGAAGTTTAAAATATCTTTCGATACGACCTATTTTTTGAAAAATAAATAAATAAAAATAATCTCATTTTTTGAATAGATTCATGCTCTTCTTTTATCACATTTTCAGCAGTTCTGAAGCAGATATGCATGCATACATACAAATTACACATCAATATTGATGTTTGTAGGTATTTGTTCACTCATCACACATTAATTATGAAAGCATATCTTTGTGAATGAATGAATGATTTTCATTTGTTTTATGGCATGGAATATACCCTACCCTATATATATCATGTACTATTTCATTCAATTTATATCTGATTTTGTCACGTAAGTTAATGTATTACCTGTATTCGAATGGGCAAATTACGCCCGCCCGTTAGTTGATATCAAATTACTGAAAAATTCCTCATGCTTGGATAATTACGCATCCACCACTGTTGTGTCAAATTTAGTAGAATCTTATGGATTTTGTGTAATATTCTTCAGTTTGTACCCGTTTTATCCCATTCGAGCTCCATATTTTGAAACAAAATGATCATAAGATGTGTTTCTTTGCTTGTAAATATCAGATTGTGGGTGCATCATAAATTGCATTTTTGCACAAAACGAGTACAAACATGATAACATTGAAATCTAGAAGATTCTGTTGAATTTGAAATTAAAGTGTAAGAAAATTCGTAATTGAGGGATCTGATTGCAATTACTTTTACACGAGAGGTTTTGAAGTCTCAATACGAAAGTCAAAACCAGCATATGCATGCAGTACAGTAAAAACATTAATATTCCTCTCACAAAGTCCAATAAAAAAGATTTTGAAAAATCTAATTTTAATTTCTTGTTTTCTTCACAAAAAAAAAAAAAAAAAAACTGGGGAAGGAAGAAATGAGGTATTCATTCATTCAAGCAGCAAATTTAGGAAAAAAAGGGAATAGTGTGCGTTCAACGAAGTTTGAAAGTTGAAAGCTGTGTGATAAGATTTATATTTAAGACCAATCACAAGAAAACCCGAAAAGGGATGTCCCATTATTGCATTTTTCTTTGCAGTCCGTCGTCCGTACTCTCTCTTGCTGCATCAATACTATCCCATTAATTCTCTCTCTCTCTTTCTCTCTCTCTCTACATTCATTATAGTGATCCCATTAATTCTCTCTTTCTCTCTCTCTCTACATTCATTATAGTGAGAGAAAGAGAAGGAGACTTGTCATTGAATGCAGCAGGGTATGTCCTTTCACCATTGAAGAAACCACATTTAATGCTTTCCTTCTTCAATGCCCCTCTCCTCTTCTTCTTGCTTGGTATCTCTCTCTCTCTCTCTCTCTCACACACACACACACGCATATATCCCATTTGCACTATTTAGCATTTACTCCTCACATTAACACAGTCCACACACACACACACAGTGAAAAACAGTACTCCGTGACTGTGTTGGCACAAATCTTGAAATTTCAATATCCTTATCAGCTTACTAAACCATTTGACCCCAAAAGTCTTGCTGCATTTCTTTTCCCTCTTTATGTCATATCATTTTCTTTTTTTTTTTTTTTTTTTTTGAATTATTATTTTGTTGTTTATTTATGAAATTTGGTTCAATATCTTCCTATGTGAAAAAACTTGTTGAGCTCCAATTTGGGTGGACTATGTTAATCTTTACACTATGTTAAAAAACATGTCGTATATCGCAGTCGACACCCTTAGGGCATCTCCAATGAAGTAACCAAATCGGGTCACCAAATTAGAATTTGGAGAGCCGTATGGAGACCCGGTGGAATCTTAGAGTCTCTAAAAAATAAAATCTCACAGTGAAGGGCTCTATAATTTTGAGTTCCTAAACAAAGTCCCATAAATACACATGAGTTTCCAAACAAAGTCCTATATTTAGAAACAAGTTTGGAGATTATGCAAAAATCTGAAAATTTAGAGCCCCACTAAATTTCTTGTTGGTGTTGAATTTTCTTCCACAATTTCTATATTTTGAAGCCGAATGGAGTTTGCTTACTCCATTGGAGATGCCCTTATATGTTTTACTAAAGGGTAAATTACAACCACCCCGACATAAGACCAAATAATGAAAAAATCCTCATTGTTTGGATAATTACAACTGCTCCCTCAACTATATATTTTCTTACAAAAAAACCCTTCATTTAGTAGGTAAATTTGATACCGTAAGTGGAAGTGTAAAACAATACATAGTTGATGGTGTAATTATAATTACTCAAACATGATGGATATTTTCATAATTGACATTACCTTACGGGTTGGCCGTAATTTGCCCTTCTCTAATTGATCAAAAAAAAAAGTCCCCATATTATTTTGTTAGTAATAATCCTCTTATGATTCAAATTGTTCCTAGCAAATTAATCCTAAAACTCACTCTTTAGGGGTTGTGTGCTAAAAAAAATGCCCTCGTTTTTCTGTTATAGTAATTCGGCATACCACATGAGTAACACATGCAAATAAACTCTTGAAAAAATGTCTAATTCGAAAAAAAAAAAAAAAAAGGTTTTGTTAAATAAAGCTAACAATAGTATATATCTAACATACATGAAAAAAATTGATTTAATATCTGAGGTCAGGGGAACAACAGCAGAGGGGGGCTGCAATAAATAAAAAAGAATTATACTTATAAGTTCCATTGAATCAATCATTTAATATCCTAGTCCAATTACACTGCACATTATTCAACCATTTATAGATTAAAATTAAAATTTATAGAGAGAGAGAGAGAGAAAATATGTGGTAATTTAATACTTTAATAGCAGAAAATCTAGTATCTGCACATCTATATATCAGACTGAATGGTGGCAGCATTGAATACACACACACATATATAGCTACAAGTACTGTATCATAATTTATCTTTGATCAAGAATTTCAAGATTTTGCATTTATCTTCTGCCCTTTTGGCCTTATTTTGTTTTACTTCTTCTTCCTTTGCTGCTGTGTGAGAGTTTGTGTGTGTGTGTGTGTGTGTGTGTGTGTGTGTGTGTTTTCTTGATGGGGAGAGCACCATGCTGTGATAAGAAGGGGTTGAAGAAGGGGCCTTGGACCCCGGAGGAAGACGACAAATTGGTGGAGTACATCAAGAACCATGGTCAAGGAAACTGGCGTAATCTACCCAAGCTTGCAGGTTATTTCTTAGCTCTGTGTGTGTGTGTGTGTGTGTGTGTGTGTGTGTGTGTGTGTGTTTTAATGAGCATTGTGAAAAATAAATTAAAAATTTAGAAGTTTTGATGAGTGCAAGGATTTGAGTTTGAAGCAGAGTTAGGTAAATGGTTAGATGTCTCTGTGATGTATTGTAAGAATACAGACATTACAGCTTAGGAATTATAAAGATTTTTCCCTTGTAATAGAACAAAAAGATATGAGAATTTAATATGCTCTGTTTATTTATTTATTTAATTTTTTTGCAATTTTTTATTTATTTTTTGTATGGTTTTTTAGTTCATTCAATTCCAAGTTTCATCAATACTGCCTATTTTGCATGTACATTAATCTTCATGGAGTTATGTTGAATTTATGCTTGCAAGTTGTTCTTAGAAGTTAGAACAGATCTTTTTGAAATAATAATAGAATGAGTTTAAACATTGTGGTTATTATTTTCGATTTTTTTTTTTGCAGGTCTTCTTCGTTGCGGAAAGAGTTGCCGACTGAGGTGGACGAACTATCTTCGGCCGGACATCAAACGGGGCCCGTTCACCCCCGAAGAAGAGAAGCTCGTCGTACAATTGCACGCCATTCTTGGAAACAGGTTCCCCTCCTTTTTTATATCTCATTTCTTAGATCACTAAATTGCGTTTTTTCGGATAATGAATTGTGTGAGAGTTTGTGTGTGTGTGTTTTAATGTGTGTGTGTTGTTAAATCACTAAATTGTGATTTTTTTTTTGGTTTGTTTTCTGCTAAATTATCCCATTTCACAATGTGTTTTATCAGTTAATGAAAAGTGAGGGAATTTGTATGTGTGCGCGCGCGCGCGTTTATGTGTGCGCGTGTGCGCGCGTGTTTTCCCCAGGTGATTTTAGATCACTAAATTGTGATTTTGTTTAATTTCTTCAGGTGGGCTGCAATATCATCGCAGCTACCGGGCAGAACCGACAACGAAATCAAGAACCTATGGAACACACATCTGAAGAAGCGTCTACTCCAAATGGGGTTCAACCCGCTAACCCACGAACCCGTTACTCTACAAAACGGGTCGCTGACTAGACCGCCCTCTTCCCCATCGACCCGCCACATGACCCAATGGGAGAGCGCCAGGCTGGAAGCCGAAGCCCGCCTCTCCAAAGAGTCTCTTCTCACTCTCCCACCATCAATTGCTAAATACTCATCAGAAAACGATTTCTTCCTGCGTTTGTGGAATTCCGAAGTCGGAGAAACCTTCCGGAACCTTCACAAAGAAAAAAACCCCGCTCCATTCTCGTCGTCTTCATCAGAAGCAACTATCGAAACGGGGTCCGCATCGGTTGCAGTAAAAGACGAGAAAGAGTGCAAGAGCAGCAAATCTTGCATGGATTATTACATTTGCTGTAATAGCTCAAATGAAGTTGAAGACGAATCCGAGTCAACTTTGGAGATGCTTTTCGATTTCCCGAGTAACGACAACGATATGAGCTTCTTAGAACATAGTACCGATTTCTTTACCTTGTACCCTTAACTAGGTAGTTAAATTATAAAAAAAAAAATCACTTGTTCTGATGTGGCATTAACATCTAATCTACTTCACATTTGTTAATGGAACATGTTTTTGAGTGATGTAATTTCTTCGAAACCGACGAATGGAGATTTCTTCTCATGTAATGTAATGTAATAGCAGATCTTTTCGTTGCTCGTCCGAAATGACGAAAGCATGGCCAAGGTTTTACGTTACATTATACAAAACATAAGTGTACATACTACTACACAGACGAAAACTCAATCACAATCACACAGAGGGACGCAGAATAACAAAACAAACGCGAAAATTTACGACGAAAAAATATACACGTTTTTTTTTTAACCGAGGCAACCGAAAGCCTTCTTAGGAACCTGGCCAGTAACGCGGTACTTTGCAGCTAATTCCTCGGCTTTGAGAAGATCTTCGCCTCGTTTGGCTTCAACCATTGCTCTCTTCTCTTCTGCCTGTTTGTGAATTAGTGCTATCTTGTTTTTCATTTTCTCTGCATATTCGGCTTTCTTCTTCTCCACTTGTTCCTGCAAGTGTATACAGATTAGTATTACGTCGATTACATAAAACATCGAGATTTTTTTTTTTTACGAATGTAACCTCGATTTTCTTTAGATCACTTTCGAGCGATGCCTTCTTGCTGTTTTCCCATGCGGAAACTTCCGAGAGCTTCTTTTGAGCTCTGTTATGTCATTAACAGAAAAAAATCGTAAAATAACTTATAAGCTTATTATCCGAACATTTGACAAATTAATTCTAAAAGTAAGACGTAACGGTTTATCCGTTCTTAAAACAACTTATCAGAAGAAGCTGTTTAAAACAAGCTTAGTCAAAAAACGGGGCTCAAAATCAAAACACGAAGAGAAAGAGATTAATTATAAGCCTTACTTGTTCTCGACTTTGGTTTTTTCGCTTTCTTCCCATGCTTTCACGAACGACAACCTCTTATCATCCTCAAGCTTCGCAAAAGCAACACCTGATACGCGATATCCACATTACTGAATTAATTCACACAATGTATATATATACATACACACACACACACACACACACACACACATATAATACATATATATCTACAATAAGAGCAGTAATTAAGTTCAATTTATTCCAACTTCTAACATAGTTAACTTAAATTAATATACATATATAAATAAACAAGATACAAAATCAACTTAAAATGAATTCAATTAACTGCTAAGACAATCAGACTATATATATTTATAAACTGAAATTTAATTATAATAATAAAAAATATGTGGTTATATATCTAAATTATTACCTCTATCAAGAGACCCCTGCTTTGAGCTTTTCTTTGCAGCCTCTGCATCATATTAAAGACAACAGTAATTAAAGAATTTCATATTTACTTTTTCACCAAATTAAAAAATGTTTCTGATTAATTCATATCCATGCATATGTAGAGAGAGAGAGAGAGAGAGAGAGAGAGAGAGAGAGAGAGAGAGAGTTACTAGCGACGTCGTGAGGTGGAGGGACGACGACCGGCTTATTCTCCATCACCGCCGAGAGTGGTGGCTCCTCCTCCTCCGCCTCGGGTTTATGCGAAACGACAACTTCCTCCGCCGCTGCTGATGTTGCCATTTGTATAGATATATATATATGTATGTATATATAGAGAGAGGGCGGCTCAGCTTCCTCCTCTTCAATTCAACGGCGAAGATGAAACCACAAAAGAAAGAAAAAAAAAAATAGTAAGTAAAAGAGAAAAGGCAGAGAGGATTCCCCACTAAGAGAAAACAACAGGAAAACGAAGTTCCTAAGTATAGAAATGGCGAAATATTTACTATATTTGTCTCTGCGGCCCTCTTCACACTAACCAACAACGATGATTATTACTACATCACTGCGCGTATCA